ATTTTGTTAAATTTAGGCCTATTTAATCGTTTTTGAGGATGTTGCCGGTGACGAGAACCCAATTGCGGCATAGTTTCGGAAATGTCCCGACCAGACCTACCGATGGGGCGAATAAAAACTTTTAGTCGGTCGGTCCCCTTTTTTGAAGATTGACTGGATTTTGTTGAATTTAGGCCTACTTAATCGTTTTTGAGGATGTTGCCGTTGACGAGGACCCGATTGCGGCACAGTTTCGGAAATGTCTCGACCAGACCTACCGATGGGGCGAATAAAAATTTTTAGTCGGTCGGTCCCCTTTTTTGAAGATTGAGTGGATTTTGTTGAATTTAGGCCTATTTCATCGTTTTTGAGGATGTTGCCGGTGACGGGGACCCGATTGCGGCACAGTTTCGGAAATGTCTCGACCAGACCCACCGATGGGGCGAATAAAAATTTTTAGTCGGTCGGTCCCCTTTTTTGAAGATTGAGTGGATTCTGTTGAATTTAGGCCTATTTTATCGTTTTGAGGATGTTGCCGGTGACGGGGACCCGATTGCGGCACAGTTTCGGAAATGTCTCGACCAGACCTACCGATGGGGCGAATAAAAATTTTTAGTCGGTCGGTCCCCTTTTTTGAAGATTGAGTGGATTTTTTGAATTTAGGCCTTTTTAATCGTTTTTTGAGGATGTTGCCAGTGACGGAGACCCGATTGCGGCACAATTTCGGAAATGTCTCGACCAGACCTACCGATGAGGCGAATAAAAATTTTTAGTCGGTCGGTCCCCATTTTTGAAGATTGAGTAGGTTTGCTCGGAAACGGTGAGAAATTTGTTCCCCTTTTTTGTAGAGAAAGTAGGTTTTCTCGGAAACGGTGAGGAATTTTCAACTTTTGGGATTTTTCCCAATTTTCCCATAAAATTTGGAATCGCATGGAAAAAACCGCAAGTCTCTACGACCACTCCTTGACCCCAAACATTTCTATGAGTGAGTGAGTGAGTCAGTCAGTCAGTCGGATTGGGGCTATATAGGTTCTTGATTCATTTAGATAATATGCTTGGTTTTTTCTTCCAGCGGCAGGTCCCTTCTGACTCTGATGAGGACATTGAGACCGAGGCAAGACAGCCGGCCAAAAAGTCATTGCCATTAAAGGGACAGCCTCGCAAGGCTGCCAAGCCTCAGAAGCCAGCAGGTCGCCCGAGGGCAGCTGAACCCACATTCAGTGAGTAAATTGATTATTCATTTGTTAGGCACTTTACTTCAGAGGCTTCCATCTCAATCTCCACTCTCTCAGCAGCGGGGGCTCAAGAGGAGGCCATAGACGACCCAGATGTGGTAATTATTAGTGAGGACGAAGAGTCCGTGGCAGAAGTCCCTGCTGCTGAAGTGAGCACAGCTCTTCACAGAGCAGCTTTATTTTCTATCCACTGCTTCCTATAATTATACAACTACTGCATGTTTTGCCTTCTTATGATTTATTTTTCGTTTCAGTTCTTCCAAAGCGAGGAAGGCCCCAGGAATAACTATTTCATTGAAGAGAACTCACTCCTTGAAGGTATGCATACATGTTAATTATAGATGTAGCTATAGATCAGTAAGAAAAAAAGAAAACCAACAATTTGTCATGTTTACAGACTTTTGCACTGAGTGCATAGAACCATATGAAGTGGGGCATCCTGATTTAGGGCACATTGGCATTCTGAATTGTCAGTGTGCTAGGTTCTGCTTTCTCTGTGCCAGTAATGTGGAACAAGCTACAGGAAGGTGCCCATTGTGCAATAAAGAAATAGGGTAAACTATACAGTTACCGTCAGTTTAAGAGCATCGCTTTCTTTTCAAGGGCTCTAGGGTAGGTTATGACTAGTGTTGGTTTTTTTTCCCGGGAAAAAATTTAATCAGCCGGAAAAAAACATACTTTTTCATGTTTTTTTCCGGAAAAAAAGGAAAAGTATGAAAAATTTAAAAAAAGCGTTATTTAGATTAAAAATATTACTGGATAATAGATTGTCGTGTCCAAAAGCTCGGATTTGGTATGACGATGTATGTCACGCAATATCTACTTTGCGTGGGCCCTGAAGGCATTTTCACGTTTAGGGTTGTTTGAAGTTCCCCCTTTATGACACGTCTCTCCCGATTGGTCTTGTTATGATATGAAAAAATAGAGAACATAACCAAAGCACGGCCTCTAGACGGTCATTCCCCAGTTTTTAACCACTGCCCTAGTGATCCTGGCCAGGACCTCAACCCTTCTTCTTTCCGTTCTTCCCTCAAATACCCTGGTTCCTAAATCCCATTGGCCATGCACCCCCACTCTCCACCATACTGTTCTTCCCTATGTTCTTCTGCATCTGTAATATAAAGGCGCGCTGTCTGGCGCCAGCCACCATTTTGTACACGGTCACCTTGTTGATAATACAGAAGCTTCCGTCTCCACGAGACCCTTTGACTACCCTTTCCCTCCAAGTCCCTTACACTGCCACACTATAACACTGGTGACAGCGGTTAATCGGGCTTTGAGGTTAAGGTCGGTCTATGCCTTCCCTGTTAGGGGGGAGGAGAGTGAGTGATAGCGCGAGAGTTTGAACTTAGCAGTTTTCGAGTCAGTGAGTGTTAGTGTGTGAACTTGAAGCTAGTAGAGGCCCACCATAACCAATACCAGCGTGTGAATCGTGATTGAAAAAGCTGAACTCAAGCTAACGAAAGTGGATACTTGTGTGTGTGATTGAATCGAGCTTAGCCGCTGAGGCCAGGCCCCACCTGACTCCAGAGGTTAGGTTTTCGAGTGTGACTCTGGGTGAGAAAGAGTGTTGGAAACTCGCCGCAAGGTTGAGTGTGTCCAACGGGAATACAAGGGGGTGCTAGAAATAGTCTAAGGCACCTGCTACCTGAGTGAATAGTCACCACCTGCATTCGTTGCTGTGTGAAATTACTCACTTACAGAACGGATAAAAACCTGTAGATGCACAAGTAGTGTGACGTCCACCTGCATTAAATTTGCTGTGTGAAATTGCCTACGCGAGCGCTACAGCTAATTTAAGTCTGTTGATACGTGATCAAGTGACGTCCACCTGCATTCGTTGCTGCGTGAAATTGCCTGCTCACTCATTAAACAAATCAGCCCACATTGGCACTTGACGAGGTCCACCTGCATTCGCTGCTGCGTGAAATCATCGAGAACCAGTGCTTGACTGATACAGGAACAAGTTGCCTACTGCCCCCTAACGCATGTCCACCTGCATCCGCTGCTGCGTGAATTGCCGCATGATCAGTAAAGCTGCAAGTTCGGTTCTTACCGCGCATTGATGTCCACCTGCACCCCGCCTGCTGAGTGAATTCGTGCTGTGGTGAGGCTAGTTAAAGGCCTACTCTGCCACTGTGTCAAAGTGACCAGCTGGCATCGAGCTGTGCTAGTTTTAAGGAGTGAGTGAACTAGTTTTAAATTAGAAATTAGAGGGTTGAAATCAAGTCAAAACTTTATTAAAGTCAAGTGCTATGTCCCATTCCCCACACCCAACTGCATCTGTCGTTGAAGCCGAAGTTCCTCGCGAAGTGAACACCGCGTCGTCCTGCAAACAGTACACATAGATTACTGCACAGTAATTACCTGGGATAACAAGGGGAATCTTGTTGAACATAAAAACCCCCGTGCGCGTCTACACAGCGCCGCCCCCGTCCGACGAGCCCACGCGCCCTACGCCGCGAATCCGCCCCCTCCAGCAGAGGCGCCCCCCTTTGGACACTATCCTGTACAAGCGCCCTTGGTGGGACTAATTTTCCAACCATGGCCGACGCGCCCGGGCCCCCCCGACGTCGAGGAGGTCGAAGTACCCCGCGAGCAACACGACGAAACCCGGGGGTCCCTGCCCACGCGGTAGAGGACGCGGGCGAGGACGCGGTAGAGGCCGAGGCCGAGGGGCGGACGCGGAGGGCCCGGCGCGGGGGCAAGCACCAGACCGCCCCCCCGTGCTATCAGACCGCTGCGGCGCTACGGTTACGATACCGACGAGGACGACGACGACCTCGATCGCGACGAGCAGCACGAGCCGCGAGTCAGGGGCCACGGCCAGCAGGCCGGCGCGCCCCGGGGGCGACGATGCAATGGACTGGGGACGACAATCCTAGTGAGGATCATGATTATAATGAGGAGGAAGACGACGAGTACGACCAGGCGCCACGACGCCGTCGACGCGCGCACCCCCACCGCCGCGAAGATAGGCGCGATCAGCAAGATAATTTAAACCCCAAAAATTCTTCAATCTAATGCGTGACCTAATTAATCGGCCCCTCCAGCACAATGCAACCGGCAGCCACAGTCACTTCCACATCCGGCTATGTACCACCATACAATGGCAGCACAGGATACGATGTCTACAGAGCACAGTTTCTGAGCATCGCAGAAACAAAAATGGTCCGAACAGGACAGAGGGGCATTCTACTGCAGGCCCCACAGGGGGAAGCTACCAAGGTCATTCGCACCTTGACTACCCAAGGAGGAAGAAAAGTCACAATGACGTCACAGTGATGTCAATATGATCAACAAAAAGTCACGGGCGAGTCTTGACCTAGAAATGACATTTTTTTGACTTTGCATTGAAAACCTCTACTTTGACTCCAGCACTTCGTATTGGTCAATCAGCCAACATTTTCCTAGTCCGAACAATTATTAGTGTTAAACTGCATTAATTTTTTTCCCTGACGTTCGTTTGACTGTGTTTGACGTCCGGTTGACATCATTCCTCATAAATCATTCCACAAACGTCAAAATGATGTCATTTGTAAGTTTCCTAAGCAGACATGTATTTATTATTAAATTTTACGAGACTTGTGAAGATTGAGTTTTCGTTTGTATTACATTGGTTATGATTCAAGTTATGAAGAATAGTTAGTAATCATCGCGTGACAGTTGGAAAATACAATTTTCGAAGCGTCGCGGGGGCGTTTGTATTACGCGCCTAAAAGAAGAAGAACGAAGGAAAAACCCGCCTTCATCTCCCCCTCCTCCCCCCACCCCCTCTCTTCTAACCTACCGCGTTCGCATGGCATGTCCGAGCTTGTCAAAGTGTCGAGCCAAGAACCATAGTTCTGTGAAGAACTGTCGATTGGCAGTGTAATTAATGTCATCAAAATGGCAGAAAAAAATAAACCTGTAAGTACTGTGAGGTATTCTTAGCGTCTCCTGTCTGAAACTGTGAGAGAGCTTTCCGGGTTGTCCAAACGTCAAAAAGATAGGTTAGCGACCGATTCAAACAGCTCTGTCAATTTCCTTGAGACGATAATAATTACTGTCTTGCAGCTCCTCTAATATCAGTGATAAATCAATTTCACACAACTTATACAGAAAAGGGAGTTTTATTTCTCAATGTTGTGGTGTTTTACATTTGCATTGCAAGCCTCTTAAATCTATTTTTAACACCGAACTTCTCAGCATTTATTTTTTTTTTTTTTTTGTTGTAAACTTGGCTATTTAAATACCACATTTTGTTTGTGAAATTTTGTTTTGTTATCTAGTTAAAGGTTATTTTCCTTTTAGGATCGACGCAGACTTAAGAGGCATGCCAGTGCGGAAGTTAACAGGCAGTTAGAATTGGTCAATTTAGCAATGATAAATGAATATCAGAATGACGACCCTATGGACTTTGAAAATAATTATGATGGCAATGAGAACGCCGATGAAAATGACAATGATAATGCTGATGAAAATGACAATTTGGGTTTCAATGACAGAGCTATTGACGATTTGAATGAAAATCTTACTGCAGATGACAATTTAAATGAAAATGACAACATGAATGAAAATTACAACGCACATCACAATGAAAATGAGGACAGTGAGAGTTCAGGACAAAGTAGTGATTCTAATGATGACTTAGAAGACCTTTATCATGAAATCGTGCCTGAAAATATACAGCAGCTTAGAAATGGAGACAGAGAAGCTTATTTGTTTCAATCTTTGAAAGCTTGGGCCCTCAGAGGTGTTTCATTGAGAAAAGTTGACTCTCTTCTCAAGATACTTTCTCCCCTGTATCCAGGTTTACCTAAAACTCACACTGGTCTTCTTGGCACACCCCATGCCCACACTCCTGACGAAATTGTGGAAATGGGCTCTGGCTCATTTTGGTATAAAGGCATCGAAGCAAATTTACGGCAAAGAGTAACTGAGGCCTACCTTCTAAAGCATAGAACTGTCACTTTTGATGTTAATATGGACGGCTTTCAACCCTTTGGTACTACTTTTGATGATATTTGGCCTATACTTGGTCTGTTGAAGGATGAGGAAGAGCCATTTATCATAGCTACTTATAAAGGCAGAGGGAAGCCTGATGATATCAATCTATATCTTGATAATTATGTTCAAGAGGCACGCTTCTTAATCACAAATGGCATTGATCTTTTTGGAAATAATTACCCTGTTACAATTGGAAATTATATTCTTGATGCACCTGCGAGATCTTTTACTAAATGCATCATTGGGCACAATGGGACATTTTCTTGTGAAAAGTGTGAGGTAGAAATGGTGTGTGTGAACAATGTACACACTTATCCCAACCTCAACGCACCCTTGAGAGACGATGCATCTTTTGCAGAGCGTCGTAATTGGCTCCACCACACAGGGGATTCTCCACTCGAGCAAATTCCCACTGGGATGGTTTCTCAGTTCAGGCTTGACAGCCTCCACATGGTTTATTTAGGGGTCACCAAACGCTGGCTCAAGTTTGTGGTTGGGACAAGCAAGAGACGAGGCATTTTAAATGAAGGGCAAGTTGATGAAATAAACAACAGAATTTTGGGAACTGCAGCTTTTGTCCCAACAGATTTCAGCAGACGACCTAGGCCATTTACTGATAAATCAAAGTTCCGTGCCACAGAGTATAGAAGAATTGTTTTATATGATGGACTTGTTCTTTTTAAGGATCTTGATCCAGGAGTGTGGAAAACTTTTAAACTCTTACATTCGGGGATCTACATTTTGTGTAGCCCTTCTCTAGTGAAACAAGAGGCAATGCGAAATATTGCAAATCTGTTGCTCCGAAGATTTATTAATCTTTCAAAGAGGATTCTGGGAGGACATTTTATCTCTTATTATGTGCATGCCCTGTGTCATCTTTCAGAAGAATGTGCAGCACATGGTGCTTTAGAAGATTTTAGTGCTTTCCCTTATGAAAATTATTTGGGTATTATTAAGGCGCTTCTTAGATCAACCTACAAGCCAATAGAACAACTTATTAACAGGGACTTTGAGAGAAATGGTCACATCATCAATCCGAAACGACGTGCTCCTGGTGAGGTCACTCTGTATCACAATCATGTAAATCCAGAAGAACAAAGGGCTGGTCGGCAGTATACAAAGGTTGAATTTTCAGATACTTTCTTAGCTGTTTCTCAGAAGGATGGCTGCTTCAAGACAAAGAAAAATGAATATTTTTCTCTTTCAAATATTATTTACACACCAGAAAGACAGATAGTTTTAGTTGGACAAAAGTTCAATGAAGTTGGGAATTATTATGAATATCCCCTGCCCTCTTCCAACCTTGGCATTGTTCAAGTGTCCAATTTAGGCCCAGAAAAACATTACATTAATTTTTCTCAATTTTCTGCCAAATGTTCATTACTGCCAACTAGTGATGTTGAGTATGTGGCTATTCCACTAGCTCATACAGAGGAGCTGTAGTTTTTCCTAAATGTAAAATAAATTTGTCTTAAAATGTGACTTTAATGAGGCATGAAGTGTTTTAAAAACTAATTCATATTTTTAACATTTTTTTCAGTTTGGTGTTGTCACCTTCCTTGAAGACGATGGCAGTTATTCATCGAGTGAGGCTGTACCATATATATGGGTATTTGACAATGAGACTAAGTGCTATTGGCCAGACTTTTCAAAGGCAGGGACTTCTGATAAAAGAACAAGACTCATCATGAGATTAGAGAAGCCCTCTCCCTCCTGGAAATCATTCCCCATCAAATTAAGACATAGATTTGGTAGTAATTTAATTTTTTACTCTGCCTTTAATGTTTTAAATGCTGTTCTGCCATTCTAATATAACTTTTCTGTTGCAGCGACTTATGAGAAAGCCAGATCTGCTGCAAAGAAACAGAATGAAGGTTATGAAACAGTTGGTACTGAGCCAAGTGATTTAGACCAAGTTAAGCGCCGTAGCCATCGACCAAAGAGATATTGCACCACGTCTGATGATGATGATGTTCAGCCCAAACCAAAAAAACGTAAAAGAGAAGTAAATATAGCATCAGAAAGTGAAAGTGACCAGGAAGCAATGAATGATGATGAAATGTCTGCAAAAATCTCAGAATATCTGAAATCTTCCAACAAATATCCTTCAAAACCATCCAGAACTACTACACTCATAAAGAAAACTCCCTCAGGTATTGTGCTTTAATTTTCTTCAAAATCTAGCTTTGATGTATTTTCATATCTATTTAGAGCTTGTAACAAAATAGTTTGATTGATATCTTTTACTATTGTTTACAGTTTTGAAAGAGTCAGGCAAGGAAACTAAAGGGAAAGCTAGCAAAGGTGCCCCTGATAAAAAGACTGTACACACTCCTTCCGGCTCTCAGACATCAAGAACATCTTCAGCTGTACTACAGAAGCCACAAGGTACTCCGTCCTGCTCTCAGATACCAGCTGGACGGCTTAAGCTACCAGGTAATTCAGTTTTGAGAAGCATTGTGCATGTATGTTGTTTTTATTATTAAAATCATTTGGGTAGTTGTAAATTTTGCACATGAAAATAACATAAGGTTTTAATAGGTGCTCCAACAAATTCACTTATGATGTCTACTAGTATGCGAACTCCCATAACTTTAGAGGACCATCAAGAAATAAACAACAGGCTTTTAGGGAAACCTCAAAATACAATCAGAACTGAAAAGGAACAGAGTTCCTCAGGTAAGCATACTTGGACATTTACCAAGTAATATATTTTTGTTTCGAGTCATAAAAATTTGTTTTTAATTTTGGCTTTGAAGTCTTTCAGGGAGCGGGCACAGTTAAGCTCAGCACCACCCAAAATGATCCCAATGTGCCTTCTGTCCAGCCATCAGAGGTCAATACCAAAGAAGTTGAGCCAAACCAAAATGGTATTTCATGTTTGAGCTACCTATGAGTGGTGGGTAACCACAAATATTTTAACAGATTTATTTTTTCAGATCTAGGAACTTTAATTGAGGAAAGGATAGGAAAAATTATCATGGAAAGTAATCAAACAAGCATGTCGTCCCTCGTATTGACCGGTTCGAGTTCTCCCCAGCCATCTGAGTCTAGCCAAAATGGTAATGTATGTTTGAGCCATGCATGACAAGTGAGTATCACAAATAGCTTCACATAATTTTTTTAAATTTTTTTTCAGATTTACTTGATACAAATGAGGAAATAGTCCAAACTCAACACTCCTCACCCTTGAATGGTAATTTAGTTTTGAGTATGGCTGGCATGCAATAAATGTAGCATAACTTGCCTTATTAAAAAGTACTTTAGAAATCCTACATCCACTTCAGGGCTCCGTTCCCACATTTGTAGCATTTGTGTTCTTTTCTTGTTTCAGACAGTGGTGTAGTGGTAGATTTACCAAAATCTTGTTTTGAAAAACTGGACATCAAGATTGAGGGTATGGTTTTCACCTATTTTCCATTTGTTTTGATTTTCTTTTCATTTATTATGTTTTCCCCCCTTAGGATATCAACGAGTTACAGCGGAAAGCCTATCAGAGATACGACAACAATTAAATGCTGTGATGCTGAACCAGGCCAAAATTCTCTCCCATGTGGCTCCGGAAGATGAGTTATATGATCCAACAAATATGCCACCTTTATTTATAAAGACTGAAGAAAAATTAGATGAATTTGAAGTCTTTTTGAAGAATCCTACTAATTTTAAATCCTATGTGAGTTCTTTTGTAGCCATTAGCAAATTTCATTATTCTAAATTTCTTCCATATCTGTCTCTTATTTTCTAAACAAAATTCCCTAGGTCTTACATCTTACTCAATTGTCAATGGACATTGCAAACGAGTCAGATGCAACTGGATTCATTCTGAAGAAAACAATATCCAACAGACTTGCTCGAGGAATTAATTGGGAGGGGAAAAAAGGAAAATTGGCGTTTGAGAAGACTCTGCTGAACAAAGCAATATGCTGTAAGTAGAATATTCTTTAGCCTTCTTGTTTCATAATACTTTTTTTTATACAACCACATCTTTTTTAATAGGTGCAATGCTGAAGAATTTCCCTCAGGGAAGACTTATTTTGACCAAGGCGAAGATCAAGCGTTGGCTGGATACCAGTGCTCAACGCAAACTAGAAGAGAGTGAAGAAAGCTGTGTCGAAGATGATGATTAATTATTTCTCTTGTCACAATCATTACCAGAAAATATTGTTATGTATCACGATACAGGAAGTATCATCAATATAGTTTATGTTTGTTATTTTGTATTATTGAAAGGCTGTGACGATACAGACAGTTATGATGCTGCTCTTGTCATAAATAAGACCATAAATATTTTTTAGTATTAAAAGTGCTACAGTATTAATTTTTTGACTGTATTATAATAGTTGTTTTTTTTTTTTAATTTTGTATATGATTGGAAGATTGTGACAATACAGACAGTGCCAGCTTTATTCTGGAAACTAGCAATTTTTATTCCTCTCCCCAACCTTTTATTATGGTTGCTACTAAGGCAAGCCACACCATTGGTCAAACGAACAGATATTATAACCATCAGGAAGGGCCCCAGAGCCCACTAGAGACGTTTTGATGTTGTTTTGACATCATTTTGACATCATGAGATTCAGGTCATTTTGATGTCAAGATGAGTGGGAGATGAGTCAAGTAAGCATCATTTCAGAGGGCCACATTGACATCACCGTGATTTTTCAGCCGTGACCTGAAAGGGATGTCAAAATGACATCAAAGTGACTTTCCTTCCTCCTTGGGTAACTTCTGTTGAAATAAGAAGACATGTTAATTGTCTTGGTTTGTCTCGGGAAATGACATTCCATTGCAATGCTGCAAGCTAACATAAATATTCTAGTACTAACATCTATTGATTAAAAGAATCCATAAATAGATGTATTTAGTGCAATAAATAATCCATATATTTAGTGCTAACAGATTTTAAACTGATATTGGGTTCAATGAGACGATTCAGGTTTTGAGCGCTGGGTGACTTGGTAATTGCATTTAATAAAACAATTCTATTCACTTCACCAAAGCTTGTGTCGGACAACTGGAACAAAGTATTGGTAATGGTTTAAAAGCTGGAAGATAAAATATGACGAGGCATGAATAAGGTAAATTATGGTGGCGTTTTGAGCAACAAGTGGACTCTGCATTTGACTTCATGAGACGATTCACTGAATTTGACAAAACTTGTTCTCCGTCGAATGCTTCAGATCAGCCTGCCCTAAACTGAGTCACTTTATATAAACTATGGTTACATATTCCAATCTATATTGTTAAATTCACTGGTTTAAAATGAAAAAATGACAAAAGGCTACTCAAATATTACTAATAAATATGTGAATTCATTAGTTGGAAGAAAAAGATGTGTCGAATAGTGAGTCAAGCAGACGAGTAGCTAATTAAGCAATTCAATGCTGGCAATGGAATGTTACTCGACTGAAGGGATCGCATTGGCGTGGCATCAGGGTATTATTGGTAACGACAAAGGGTGATCCATGAAGACCAACCCAGACCCATTCTTTACCAATTATTGATCAATTTTATATCAATATTTTTAATCGAATCTCATATTGATTCTTGGAGTTTTTGGAGTGCTGATTATGAAAACCACTTCCATTACTCCAGACTTATATTTTCATCTCAAATTAGGTCATTTCGGACCAAAATTTTCAGGTCGAGTTTTATATGGTTTCCTGCAGTGTTTGATGAGCTGAACTCAAAAATAACTTCTAAATTTTTCCCAGACTCACGCTTTACCAAATTCTGACCAAATTTGGACCCAAATTTTTGTATTGAGTTTGATGTTGATCCCAACAGTTTTTTGTGTGCTGATAACAAAAATCACCTCCATTTCGACTCCAGACTTATAATTTAATCCCAAATTAGGTCATTTTGGACCAAAATTTTCAAATCGAGTTTTATATTGTTTCCTGCAGTTTTTGGTGCGCTGAACTCAAAAATGACTTCCAAATTTTTCCCAGACTCACGCATTCCCGAATTTTGACCAATTCTGGACCAAAATTTTGGAATTGAGTTTGACGTTGATCCCAACAGTTTTTTGTGTGCTGATAACGAAAATCACTTCCATTTATACCCCAGACCTACATTTCACTCAATATGAGCCCACAAGCTGCACATTTCGTCTACTGAAGCAAAGTACGAAGTGCACAAATTCGCATCGCTCAGCCACACTACGCGCCCACACTAAACGGCGCGTACCCCTAGTATATTTGCCACATATTTTCTATATCGGAAAAGTATCTGGCTAAATTATCTTTTCCACATATGTCGTCAATACATGTTGGGCCATATATTTTGTCCATACAATGCCCATATATTTTCCATTTTGCAAGGGCCACTGCTTCAGCCACCCCGAGTGGACTTGCAAGTTGCTGGAGGCGGTGGCGCCGCACTTAGAGGGGCTGGAGATGGAGGACCCCGACCCGGAGCACGTGCAGGTGCTGAGTGGGATGCCGGCACTGCGCAAGCTGCGCCTGCAGGGCGGCGAGCTCTGGGACGACGCGCCGCCGCTGCCGCCGCAGCTGGAGCACGTGTACCTCCATCGGGCCAGCTTGGATCAGGTTCTCTCGCTGCAGCGCATGCCCCGCCTACGCAGGTGAGACCGAGGGGTGAATCACTAGTGTACTCATGTGTACAAATTTGCCCGTACTCAGTGTACTCACAAGTTTAAAAAGGGTGAAATTCACTAGATTTTCGACCGATTTATCGTTGAGTGCCTATTAAAACGCTAAATAAAGCCTGAAAACGCTTACAAACGTGAAATTTATGAGTAAAGAAAGGTGTACTCACGCGTACTCATGTACTCATGTGTACACTACGACGCTGAGTGATTCACCCCTCGGGTGAGACAGTCTTTAAAACTTCAGGGCAGTGCAAATCCAAAAGTCTGCCGTTCCGCCACTTCAGAGGCGCTCGCTTTAAACGCACAGGAAATATTTAGAGCATATGTAAGATACAAGATTGTTAGTCTGTAATACGCAGAAATCATTGTAGAATTACTTCATATTGTGCAGAAATGCTTCGTATTACGAAGAATTTTGCTTCATAACACGAAGCATTCCTTCCCAGATTTTACAACCCCTCGTTTTGTTCGAATTACAAAGCGATGCTTCGTAGAATTTTTACTGTGTGGCCGCATTGCCCAATAATGTTCTCTGCCCTCCAGCTTGACGCTGGGCTACAGCCCCTGGAAGGTATTCCCACCGCTGCCTCCCCACCACTGCGGCCTGGAGTACCTCAACATTTTAGGAACTCGACGATCGCCGACTGACGACCACATCCTCTTCTCCCTGATCCGCGCACACAGTGCCACCCTGCAAGAGTTGCGCATCTGGACCGGCACCTGCAAGCCGACCAACGCGGTGATGAGCCGTTACTGCTTTTACGACGATCTGGGCCCGAGGCTGGCCCAGTGCAACCTGCGTTCCTTGAAGTGGCTGGTACTCACCAGGTCGTCGCCCCTTGCACGAAAGGGTTCGAAAGAGGAGCTATCGCACTGCGATAAGGCGTGCAAGGTGCAACTGCAGTCCATCGTTGATGCGCTCAAGCAGAGCGGAGCTGAGACCGCCGTCCTGTGTAGCGTCTGCCACAAGCACCGCCTCAAGCAAAGTGACTTCCCTCATGATGATTTGCTTGTACCAGGTTTACACCATCTGCCGGAGGGTCGACTCTTCCGCTTCCCGTCGAAGGAAATTGCGGGTATCTTGGAGTCTCTTGAGCGCGTGTCCATCCCGTCGAGCGACTTAATTCAATACATGGATCAATTCACGAATCTTCTAAAAAAGTGAATGTTACCTGTCAATGTACGCATTGTTTGTCTTGAAAATTACAACTCAGATGTAGGCAGCATGAAAAAAAGCATTCGTTTATCAGTTGTCTTCTTTTCTAGTTAGCAATTTGCTAATTGAGATATGAGTCGGATTTTCTATTGTGGGGATAGTGCAGTACTATGTTGATCTGTATTTTTGTGTTTCCTTATGACCGCACATTCTGGCATTTTAATAAAGACCATATTGCAACAACATTGGTATGCATCGATTATTTAGCACCTCTCACGTGAAAGGGTGCTCTACTTCAAATCTACTAAGCCCTTCTATATTTTTTTTCAAATCCGAGAGATATTTTGGTCCTAATAACTTTTTTTTCATCAAAACTATGGGAAGAATTAGAACAGGGGCTTCTCAATCTCCTATGCCAAAGGAGATATACTGGTCACAATTGATCCATGAAGCGGAAGAAGTGGTTAATCATTTTTCAGGAGACACAAATGTTTGCAGGGTTAACTTAATCCAATCAGATGAATGATGCTATTGCATTTTTGTCCAGAAAGCCTAAGTAATAACCGTGAAAATTTTCAAAAGTGTAGCATCCCTATGTAGACTGTTACTGACAGTGATTTCTATCTTTATGTGGAATGGATTACGGAACAATGTTGACTTAGTTCTTCCAAACAAGGCGGAATTTGGAGACAATTTAAGTGGAGCTGAGGTCTGCATGGAGTCTGTATTTCTGTGGTACATTTTTGGAGTTACATCTTTTTTCCAACTAGTGATGAGGAGTTGAGTTGATTCTTGGGGAAGTATTGCCCTTTTTTGTGTTCGACCTTTCTTCCGGTGATACATGTGTGTGTACACTGGTGAAACAAAGGCATAAATCGTTAATGCCTTTGGGAAGGGCATTAAAATTTTGCTTGAAATTCCTATACCATTCACGCCCTTCCCAAGGGCATAAAACGATTTATGCCCTTGCAAGGGCGTAAAAGTGTATTAATGCCCTAAAGGGCGTTCCAATGAAAGACGCAGGAAGATTTTTCCCCAACGCTCTAAAAAACACTAAAAAGCAACTTTTCTCTGAGACCGTTATTTGGACATATTTGAGGCTCTACTTATCAGGACTCATCAACTTCGTGTGATTACCATGAGAACTTTTCAAACTTGTAACTCGCACCATATGAAATCTGACAAAGCACACATTCACGTGTCATATGCCGTTTTATACTCTACGTCTGGTTCTCATCCAAAGGAATGTGACACGATGCCCAAGAGACGTGACGTGTCACAAAACATGATGTCACGCTGCCGGAACGAAAGTGATGAGAGTAATTGACCCAAGACCCTTGTCTTATCAAGTAAACCACGCGGCCATTTATTTCTGTGTCTTATGAGTCACACAAAATTGGCAAAATAAAAACACACAAGAGCAATTTATGAAATTTAAGGAAAGGAAAAGGAATGCTTTCATGTATGGAGCGTACTAAGAAAACATAAAATCAAAATGATCCAATTCTTGAACACGATGTGTTGGCGTAAACGAACAGTGTCTAGGCACACTGTCGGCAATAGACGCCTTCCCAGACAAATTGCTTCAGCTCCTCACGAAACGCAAGGCAGTCCTCCTTGCTGTGTCCGACCCACTCGTTTCTGGAACACAAAGCAGAACCGACCGAAAATTCCATGTAAACAGTTCGAACTGTTCATGCGCATGAACCAGAAACGGTCTAACGTCGTTCCCGGTGTAAAATCGAGATCCGACAAATAGAGTGCAATGTTAAAACCTCAGCAGATGAAAACCGATTTTCAATATCAAAATTGGAATGTTTTTCAAACATGAAATTTAGCATAATTAATAAGTAAACATAAATTTCAATGGTAGCGGTTAACCTTGAAGTCAAAGATACTTTCAAAGACCGCTTTTCACGTCAACGACTGTGGACAGATTCAAAGACTACACTACAACTATTTGTCTTAAAAAAATTACTACTTTGGCAAACCGAAAAGGGTGTTTGAGGCACAAAATAAGCAAATCTTTGGCCTAAAAAAAAACCTGTGGTGGAAGGAATACACCGGTGACTATAGTGGGCAGTTTTGTAAAAGAAAAAAACTGCAATTTTCCAACGTAAGAGCTTTAGATAATTTATATGTAAAATGACGACTTTTCAGTGTAAAATCAAATAACAACTACTACTTTATAGACATTTTTTTGTGAAACCACGATTTCCTTCGTACACACTAAATTCTTATGGACATTTTTATCCATAGGGGGCATTCCACGTCAAACCATCATGGTCCAAAACGCACTTGCTCAGATCCGGCTCCCAATGTTTTCTATCATAGCCTACCACTCAAGGACCACTCAAGTAAATTTTTTTGAAAAAACATGCAGAACTTTGGCCGTGGCGATCTTTTGAAATTTAAAAAAAATTTCAAAACTTTTTCTTTAGTTTTTTAAAAATTGTGTCTTTAGGCGCTCAAATGGGTTGAAAACAGTAAATGGCAACATAATAAAGTGAGAAACGAGGTTGGGGCCCTCAGTCTTTGCCTAAAAGGGCGTTTATGACTAAAAACAACGGTTTTTTGATTTCCCAAAATACGCCATCTTACTTTTTGACCATAATGGTATCAAAGGGCCCTAGGGGGGTACTCTAACTGCCAGCAAAATATTGGGGACGGCAATCCATAAACACGAGAGATATTGTCAAAAAAACTCTAAAAGTTATCTTAGTGGATCGTCAAAAATTGACTATTTGACACCCATATCGCTCCCGTGCATTAAAATGTTGTCCTAGTGTCTGTCTTAACTCTCTGGAACCATTTCGAGGTGAAGGTAAACATTCTAGTAAAGATTCTAGTAAAGATCCTGATGTGACTAATAGACGAAGTCGGGCTCCTCGACCCCCTTTCCGACCCCTCGTTGAAAAGGTCTTGCTGAGACCAATCGAAATCTGCAATAAATTTTTTTAGTCGGTCGACCCCCTTTTTTTGAAGATCCTGATCTGGCCAACTTGTGAAAGCGGCCGATGGGGTCGGGACCAGGTCCATTCATCTTGTCTCGTCGCCCCGATTCCAAAAATACCCCTATGTGCCCTGCTAGCACCAATAATGGCGGAAAACCCCCTCCCGCTCATGTAAACCATGATGCACCTGCAGCAGCCCTTGTGCGACCCGGACGGGATTTGCACCACCGGATTATTTGTTTGGACGGTACTCCTGAAGTACCCTCCAAATCTGGTTACTCTAGCTCAACTCTCTCCTTGTACACAGACGCCAACAACAACAACACACAGACACAAAGGCAAATGCATAGGCCCTCCCCCTATTTTTTGAATAGAAGGGCGGGCCAAAAAAGGAAAAGAAAGGTGGTGGTAGGCCAAGTTTTGTACGTTGCTTGGTTTGGCCTACTTGAGCAATTTTGTTGAATTCATCGAAACTTTCATACCCAAAATATGCCACCTTGGATTAGAACCTGGGACGTCTCATTCCACTTCTTACCATTCCACCAACATTACAAGAGTTGAGGCACTACACAGCGAGAAATCGTAGGCCTCAACTCTTGTAATGCTTACCTTCACCTCGAAATTGTTCCAGAGAGTTAAGACAGACACTAGGACAACATTTTAATGCACGGGAGCGATATGGGTGTCAAATAGTCAATTTTTGACGATCCACTAAGATAACTTTTAGAGTTTTTTGACAATATCTCTCGTGTTTATGGATTGCCGTCCCCAATATTTTGCTGGCAGTTAGAGTACCCCCCTAGGGTTCTTTGATACCAATATGGTCAAAAAGTAAGATGGCGTATTTTGGGAAATCAAAAAACCGTTGTTTTTAGTCAAAAACGCCCTTTTAGGCAAAGACAGAGGGCCCCAACCTCGTTTCTCACTTTATTGTGTTGCCATTTACTGTTTTCAACCTATTTGAGCGCCTAAAGACACAATTTTTAAAAAACTAAAAAAAAAAGTTTTGAAATTTTTTTGAAATTTCAAAAGATCGCCACGGCCAAAGTTCTGCATATTTTTTCAAAAAAATTTACTTGAGTGGTCCTTGAGTGGTAGGCTATGATAGAAAACATTGGGAGCCGGATCTGAGCAAGTGCGTTTTGCACCATGATGGTTTGACGTGGAATGCCCCATAGTTATGCATGCACAAATACGCCTATATGTTATGTATAATATTATGCATCACTGTGTACATTTTATGCAGGAAGATGCATAAAATGTACACAGTGATGCATAATTTTATATATACCTTAAGGACGTTTCTGCGCATGCATAACTATGCATAAAAAAATGCATCATTATGCATTTAAAAGGTCCATAAGAATTTAGTGTGTAGGCTGCGAAGCCCTTCGTTTTCTTTCACAACGAGCAGTTCTTTGTGAAAATTTATCTGTGAATATCACAAAAACTTTCCGTGACCGGCGACGATAGGTACTCACACGCCTTTGAAGCCAATGAACCGCAGCTTCTTCCCGCGGAGGCCGGCGAGGAGCTCGCTGCGGTCCCGAGCCGACCCCGGGTCCGGGTTCACCCCCAACGTGCGCAGCCGCGTGCAGCGGGAGAGGGCGGCGCTGCTCGGCAGGCAGGACACGTGTAACCCCTCCAGCGTGTCGGCGAAGCGCTCCACCAACATGCTCACCGCCTCGGGGAATTCCTGCCACACCAAACCAATGCTGTGTTACGCGAGGGAGTACACTGAAATTCCAAACGCTATGAGTATTGCACGTATGGTGCAACGCGTCGAGATATCGCACCATACGTGCAATGCCTCAGCCATATTGCACCTTACGTGCAATGCATCCCGAAAATGCCCTATGCTAATGCATGGGAATAGGGAGACATTGCACTTCATGTGCAATGCTTTTGCATTGCACCGATTGACGCTATACTCATAGCGTTTGGATTCTCAGTGTAAACACTCGCGAGTAATACCGTACACACTAAATTCTTATGGACTTTTTTTATGCATAGTTATGCATGCGCAGAAACGTTCATAAGGTATGAATAAAATTATGCATCACTGTGTACATTTTATGCAGGAAGGTGCATAAAATGTACACAATGATGCATAATTTTATTCATACCTTATGAACGTTTCTGCGCATGCATAACTATGCATAAATTATGCGTCATTATGCATTTAAAAAGTCCATAAGAATTTAGTGTGTACACAATAACCATGTATTATGCGAAATACACGTAAACGTAATATCATTTGATCCATGAAGCGGAAGAAGGGGGTAACTCCATTTTCATCATTTTTCAGGAGAAACAGAAAAATGTCTGCAGGGTAAACCTAATCCAAACAGATGAATGATCCAGTTGAACTTTTGTCAAAAAAGCCTAAGAAATAACTCTGAAAACTTCCAAAAGTGCATCACTCTGCAGACTCTGTAGACGGTTTCTGTTATTTAAATCTTTACGTTGGCATGGACCACGGAACCATGTTTACTTAGTTCTCCCAAATAAAGGGGAAATTTGGAGACGATTCACGTGGAGCTGAGTTCTGCGTAGAGTCTGTATTTCTGTGCTACGTTTTTAGAGTTACCTCTTTTTTCCAACAAGTGATGGGGAGTTAAGTTGAGTTGATTCTTTTTAAACTAGATTCATAAAGACACAAGTTGAGTTCTCTCCTTTTGCCATGTTGTGGAATGGAGAGTTACCTCCATTCTCCTATGAAATTAAGACCATAAAAGGGGTCAACTTGAGTTGAATCAATTATTTGTGGATTTTCTCCTTAACTGTTCGGAATTGGGTGAAACAACTTGGTGTAATGATGCAAACTATCCTAAGACACAAATAGAAGATAAAAACTCAACTTGAAGATAAGTCGGATTGTTCCCTTATTCTTCCTGGTTCACTTACGGGACAAATGTGCCAAATTTCGGCATTTTAAGATCTTGATACACGTGTAACATCCCCGAAATACAGCGTGATAGCGCGTTTAATACCAGAGTAGTCAATGCACGAATTTTTGAAGTGTTTACCCCCTTGGTGTTACTCGCGGAAGAACCCACTCGAAAATCCTTGCGAAGAGCTATAATCTCCGGCGGAGTATTTCAAACTCCCTTACCAACTCCTTTCTTTTTAATGTGTAGAAAAAAAAACATAGTTTGTTAATAATATTTCAAGATGGGGCCCTGTTCCTGAGCGGGAAAGGGAGATCGGGGGAGGGAGGTAGAAAGAGGCAAAGAGAGTCGACTTAGGTGTTTGTAACTTACCCCTCCGTCGGTAATAAGTGCCTTTAGCGGCTTTTCACGCTGAACGGGTACACCCGGCAACAGCACTGGACAGGAGTATTTCTCGTCCCGGCTGAACTCCAACTTGAGGCTGAGCATGTCGCGGCACCGGAGAGCAGCAAGCAGGCAGGCAACGTCGGGGTTTCGGAGGGTGACTTGCTCGAGGCCATCCTGCTTCTGGGCCAGGAGCTTGGCAGACCAAGCCAATCGTCCGTTCAGTCCAAGCCCAAAGAGCTGCAAGCAACAAAGTCAACCAGTCAACACATTTCAAATTCAACGAGACTAACAACTCAAACGTGGCCTACTCCGCAGTGAGTTAGAGACAGTGAATTAGACAGCACACACTCGCACTAAATGTTTTGAACAAGTTTTGTAAGAGACGTCAGTTTTATGTGCACACGAAATTTCACACCGACTAGCTATGGACATTTTTGATACCAGTTACTGGACAGTTTCGTATCCATGGAGGAAACGTTTTTATACGTTACCAAATGGCGAAAAATTCATACGCAAACCGTAGACAAATTTGTCCATATATTTTTGGAAGCATTATTGCATTAAACTAAGAGCTAAATTGTTCACAGATGTGGACAAATATGTCCGCGCGTAAAAAGGTTCACAAGAAAGTCCATAAAAAAAGTCTGCATAGATAATGGACCAAATATATCCATTAGCCACACTACAAACCTAACTGTCTACTTGGTCCACACTTACAATTGCATGCTTGCAAGTACACACAAACGCATGCATGGCCAAGTACATAGTTATAAATGCATGCTTGCAAGTACACACTTACAAACGCGCTTGGCGCCGTATACCGAGCTCCATGCTAAGCTTAGGTGTTTGTTTGTAAGTGTGTACTTGCCAAGCATGCATTTGTAAGTGTGACTTGACAAAGCATGCGTTTGTAAGTGTATACTTGCAAGCGTGCATTTGTAAGTGTGTACTAAGTAGACAGATAGGTTTGTAGTGCATAGACTTTTTTTGTTCCCAAGGTCTGGATGCAAACTGATGTCCAACTGATGGACATATTTATGAACAGCTATACATAATGTTTCGTAAAAGCCTTGGACAATTATGTGTACATTTGGCAACGCTTAAAAACGTTTCCACTTCATTCCAACGTTCCACAGGGTCACACTGAGAATCCAAACGTTATGAGTCAAATGCAAAAGCACCATAACGTGCTATATTCATAGCGTTTGAAACGACGGGGTAACGACTTCAGTAATCCGGCTGACAAGAAATGGTAATCCGTTCCGGATGACCAGAAATTTTGAGGTAATCCGGGGTTATTCTGCGTGATCCAAAGGAAATCCAGGAAAATTTTCGATGTAAGGGAGGATGGGGAACCATGACCACCCCCCTCGCTCTCGGGAACTACTTAGCCGACGGCAACCGGTCAACTGAACTTTCGAGAGAATCAGATCCTTACTATTTTAAACCAGAGCCCTACCTTCTCACTTCAATGGTACAACCATAGCACCTCGCCAAAATTTTCGTTACAGCGTTTTCACTAAATTTGGCATATTTCAAATCTGGGATATTTTTTCTCACTCTCGCATTTGAGAAGGTAAGTTCGATGTCTTAGATTTTTCTCAAAATGTCGGCTCTCCGGCAAAATAGCCATTATCACATTTAAAGTTAAGTAGCTTTTTACTTGCTCGGGGAGCATTAGAGTCGTAAACTGAATTGTGGGGAGCCATGACCACTTTTTAGTGGGGTTCCATGACCATACATATTTGAGTGTTTTTTCTCATTTTAGGTCAGATAATGATTTATTTTCGTCAAACATTTGCATTTTGCTTCAGAAAATGTAGAAGGTTTGAATAATCGCTGCAGAATAGATAGTTTTATCACAAATCGTGAAACACCAGGATGATTAAGAATATGCACTCTTACAACCTTACGAAGTATTTTCTTTGTAAGCTTACGTATGCTCAAAATACTTTGTTATACAAACTACTTTTCTTTGTAAGACCCGAAACAGTTTGTAAGATTTTCTCAGTGTGGTTCTGAAACTGAGACTTGAAATGGTAGTTTCTCTAGCACTAAATGAGCTCCAAACCGCAAAAGTGGGCCGCGAAAGCGATCCGTGGCAACTTTGCACCGAGACGGCTCTGGCATTATGAGAAACAGCATTTATTTTTCTTGTTTGCAGTGTTGTAACCGCGATAATTTTCTTAAAATTTACCAAATTGAAATCTGCATACGAGTTTGGATTCATCTTAGCAAGACAAACATAAAATGTTAACACATGTCATAGCTTTGGATGTGAAATTTGAAAGCCTTAGAGCGTTAACTGTTTTAAACGGTCTATTTTAAGGCATCTTAGAACGTTTGAAACTTCGAAGGTTTTTAGAGTGTTTTTTAGTTAAGTTTACTGGTCTGATGGTAAGGACAGCGATATAAACAATTTCGCTGAGAATAATGGTAGAAATTACACTTCTTGGGCCAAAAAATTACTATGGTCATGGTGCCCCACGGGGTGGTCATGGTATCTGTGAGCCTGCCGTGCATTGCAGACAAGTTGCAATGGGTGGAAGAGGTCCTTGGAGGTCCCAAGAATCCCCTCATGCTGGAAACTTAACTTTTCGAACCATACGGTGGAGTAGAGGGAGGCACAAAAAAAAGTGGTCATGGTTTCCCACCCCACCCTCCCTTAATCCGGGGGTAATCCGGGTAATCCGTAATCTGGCTGACACGAAATTTACTAGTCGTTACGCCCTCGGTTTGGAATCTAAGTGCAGGCACCTTGAGTTTAGAGTGGGTGAGGGCCTTGCGCGCTGCGGGCAGCATGATATCCGCCGTCTTGAGCCAGTGGAGGCGCGGCGCGAAGCGCACGATGCGGACGAAGTCCCTCGCGTTCCTATGTCGGAGGCTGTAGGTCCGAGGCAAGTCCTTGCTGACTCGATCCTCGAAGACCCACGAGTAGAGGAGGCGTCCGTCCTTCCACACGGCGGGCTGCATGGCCGTGGTCCGCCACGACCGGCAGGTCTGCCCCGCCGACACCACGTCCATCATGCCGAGGTGGCCGAAGACCTGCTCCAGGGCAACGGACGGCAGCGCCGACCAGCAGACCATCGCCTTTTCGTCGTCCTGCGTCATGCACATACGCACAAAAGTTATGACTTCTTGAGTCAAGAAGTTTGGCGTTAGGCTTAAAATGAAGCTTAGTCTAAAAAAAGCGTAGAAGCTAGGAAGCTTAGACAAGATCCCCGATGCATTAAAATACGTCCGTTGGAATCTAGACGGATAAGTCAGTGGCCGTTGGGCGTAAGGCGCATGGGAAACCCATTGAAAATAGGTTCACTGTTAAAAAAATTCTTAAATTTAATGCATAATGACATCTTAATTTTAATAACTTTTTGAAAGGATATGAAAACTCATAAAGGTTTGTGAAGTTTAAGAAAATTTCTTACATTGACCAAAACATTTCTGACAAGTAATGAAAATATTGGTAACTTTCAGAAACTTTATTAAAATTGAAAAACGAGTTCATAAAATTTGAGATTGTTTATCAAATGTAATAATTTGTTTCTTAAAATTCTAAATTACTATGACTTTTTATATTTGATTCTCATCTTGCCAGTTGAAATTGTGATCATTGGACGCTTTTCTACCAGTGTACTTAAAGAAGAAATTTTTATGTTCTTGGTCATGTCAAGTCGTGTTTGGAGGCCCTTGGATGAGCGCTTCCGCTGCCTAGCGGAGTCTCCGCCGAGAGGCATGGAGTCATCCACATCCTAGGGCCCGCCTCCCAGAGCTCACTCGTGGCACAGTTGGTAGCGTCGCGGTGCAGTAATCTGGAATTCCGGGTTCGAGACCGGGTTTCAACCACGCTTCCAAGCAACTTCGGCAGTGAAATCGACTACTACCATACTACGAGTAACTCATAACGTATACAAGACGTTCAATTTTTCCCTACTCCTCATTAAATTCTTCTTAAATGCAAAACAACTTTTAAGAAACAGATTATTACTTTTCAAATTTGGTTCTTACTTTTAAGAAGAAAAAGTTTATTACTTTTACTAGCAAAAAGTCTTTGTAAACTGCTTCATAAAAAAGTTTCTTAAAATTAAGATGGATTTTTTTAACAGTGTTGTTCTGTCCGATGACCACTCAAGTTACACTTGGTTTCAAGCGTAAGAGGACCGCGCTTGAAAGAAGATACTACGCTTTCGTTCTCATTTCTGAGGCCGCGATTGTCGCACTCACACTCACTGCATTCTCCGTGGCGCGTCGTTCCGCTCTCCGCTTCCTCGGGGGCTCCCTCGGATCCATGCCTAGGACTCACGAAGTTATTGACTGCACTGGGTAGACCTGTAGTGGCAAAAAAAAGGGGGGGACGGTTAACAGATTGACAGACACCTCTGGCAAAACTGTTGCCGAAGGCATCTTTGAAAATTGACGCGCCAATTCTCGGTTATTAATTAAAGTTCTTCGTATAGATTAAAATATTCTTCTCAAATTATCAAACAGTCAACGTTCACCGTGAAGCCCTGAAGCTTCTTCGTCGAGAGAACATTCTATTCTAGAATACCGGAAGCCGGGAGGAAAGGGGGTAGTTTCCGAACCTTACTAAAAAGGACAAGTGTTGAGAAGTAGAGAACTTCAGTCCGAAGAAGAGGAGGAACACCGTATGTCGGAGCGGCAGAACCTAACTAACACTCACTTGTTTATACCCCAAATAGGGCACTGGAATGAATCCCTAGGCCGGAAGTCAAAAAACTAAAGTAAGAACTAAATTCGCTTCTGCGCATGCGCAGACGCTGCATCAAAGAGGAGGGGGGACGCCTTCACATGAGCTGAAGCGCTTATAGTTCTAACTTTTGTTCCTTGACTTCTGGTCCAGGGATTCGTTTATATATACCCTATACAATTAGAGTACTTCAATGAATCTCGAAACGGAAGAAAAAGAACAAATGTGTAAGCCCTCACTGGTAAAACTAAGGCGAACTGTTACACCCTTCGTGAAGCGTACACACTTATCATCTTACGATGGTAACGCGAACGTAACATACACTGAATTCAAAACATGCGTATTACGCTGAAATGTCATCGTACTACAATCGCAACCAACGTACCTTACGTTGACTACGTGTGTAATACGTTGAAAACATGCGTATTACGTTGAAAATCCTGCGTACCTTACGTTGACATTCGTGCGTATTATGCAGGTTGGAAATTAGTCGTACCTTACGATGGAAAATCATCGTATTACGCACGAAAACCAACGTAAGATGATGAGCGTGTACAGCCAGTACGCCCTTCTTCAAGCGTACAAGAGTTCATGCGCTCCTTTCCTCCTGTCTCAATGCATGGGGGGCATTGCCTTGAAGCGTAGTTGTACGCTTCAAGAAGGGCGTACAGTCTTGAAGCGTAGTTGTACGCTTCAAGAAGGGCGTACAGTCTTGAAGCGTAGATGTACGCTTGAATGCAGCGTATGAAGCGTACAACTACGATTTACTTTGACCAGTGCTGAAACAGCATCTACGCATGCACTGACGTTCCGCCACCACCCGGTGCGCATGCTTTGTAGCTGTTTTTAGGGCTTCTATTTCATCCGTATCAAGAATCATTGGAGTACAAGGATTTGCAACCACTTACCGTGACGACCGGATCGACTATTGGATGGCGGAAGAAAATTTCGTCGATCTCAGACCGGAAGTAGGCGCAAGTTGACTGCACCTTTACACAGTAAGGGAGGGTGGGGCACCATGACCACTTTTTTTTTGTGCCTCCCTCTACTCCACCGTGTGGTTCGAACAGTTAAATTTCTAGCATGAGGGGGTTCTTTGGACCTCCAAGGACCTCTTCCACCCATTGGAACTTGTCTGCAATGCACGGCAGGTCACAGAACACTTTGGAAAATAAAACGCAAAGTGGTCATGGTGCCCCACCTATGGGGCACCATGACCACCCCGTGGGGCACCATGACCATAGTAATTTTTTGGCCCAAAAAAGTGTACTTTCTACCAGTATTCTCATTGAAATTGTTTATATCGCTGTCATTACCATCAGGCCAGTCAACTAAACTAAAAAAAACTGTAAAAACCTTCGAAGTATCAAACGTTCTAAGATGCCCTTTAAATGGACGGTTTAAAACAGGTTTAAAGCTCTAAGGCTTTCAAATTTTACATCCAAAGCTATGACATGTGTTAACATTTTATGTTTGTCTTGCTAAGACGAGTCCAAATTCGTATGCAAATTTCAATTTTGGGAAATTTTAAGAAAAATTTTCGCGGTTACTACACTGCAAACAAGTGAATTAAATGCTGTTTCTCATAATGCCAGAGCCATCTTGGTGCAAAGTAGCCACGGATCGCCTTCGCGGCCAACTTTTGCGGTTTGGAGCTCATTTTGTGCAAGAGAAACCACCATTTTAAGTCTCAGTTTCAGAACCATTCTTTAAACATCTTGGTGATTCACAAATTATCACAAATTTGTGATAAAACTATCTATTCTGCAGCAATTATTCAACCTTTATACATTTTCAGAAGCAAAAAGCAAATTTTCGACGAAAATAAATCATTATCAGGCCAAAATATGAGAAAAACACTCAAATATGTGTGGTCATGGTGCCCCACTAAAAAGTGGTCATGGTGCCCACAGTGCAGTTTACGACTCTAAGGCTCCCCCAGCAAGCAAACAACTACTTAGAATTAAATGTGATGTTGGATATTTTGCCGAAGAGCCGACATTTTGAGAAAAACCTAAGACATCGAACCTATCTTCTCAAATGTGAGAGTGAGAAAAAATATCCCAGATTTGAAAAACGCCCAATTTAGCCAAAACGCTGTAACAAAAATTTTGGGGAGGTGCTATGGTCGTACCCTTGAAGCTAGAAGGTAGGGCTCTGGCTGAAAATAGTTAGAATTCTATTCTCTCGAAAGTCCGGTCGACCGGTTGCCGTCGGCAAAGTAGTTCCCGAGAGCGAGGGGGGTGGTCATGGTGCCCCAGTGGTCATGGTGCCCCACCCTCCCTTACGTTCCGCTCAAAGTGGTCCGGCGGCTGTAATGGGCTTTAGGTACGGCCCCTTTTAGCCTCAAAGTGACTTTGAGTTCCTGCAAAGTCTTATTGGGACTTTAAGACTAAAAGTCCTCCATAGAATCTGACTATGTCTCCCGCGCGTATGAAGCGTTCCGTTGGTTAGTTTGGTGATGGGATAATGAATGATCCATGAGGCGGAAGAAGGGAATAGCTCAAATTTCACCATTTTGTAGGAGAAACCCAAAACTGGTTGCAGGGTAAGCTAAATTTCATCAGATGAATGATGCATTGCATTTTTGTCAAAAAAAGTCTAAATAATTGTGAATTTTGCAACACAATGCCGGAGAATACTTCGCACTGCGAAGTAATTTTCTTTGCTAGCTTTTATCAGTGGGGGTAGAACATAACAAGGTAGGTGTACGCCAGACCGTGTCTTGTCGTAACAAGCTTGCGATGCTGCGCCAGTTCCGACAATCCACGCCTAGCGTCTACATCAACCTTGGCCTGCTGCGGTGCTGGCCTGCCGCGTTCGAAATCAAAATCAAAGTGATTGTTGAAACTCTTCTACTCAGAGTGCAAGGCAATAGGGTACTTTCGTAGAATCCTGAACCGGAAGCAAGCAGACCAGCAGACGCCAAATTGGCCGGAAACTAACCTCTCTTCGGATCCAAAACTATAGCCGAGCTGTACAAATATTGCTCGCGAAATACATATGCACTGCAAACAAGTATCAAACGACTGTTTATGTTCAAGTGTGGCCGATACCTTTGACGAACGTCTCTATCCCATGTCAAGGTTGGATCTACTTCCGCCAACATGGCGTCTGTGTGCTTCCGGTTCAGGGACGAAAGTACCCTATAAAGGCTAATGCCGATTTGAAAACCCTTTATCAGAACATCCGACGCTTTTGGAGTTAAAGGTTCAAAAGTGCAAAAGTGAAAAGCAGCGCCGCTCTTGGTCAGTGTCTCGGCTCGGCTCCCCTCTCTCCGTTTATTTTGCGCTGCCGAGTCGAGTGCCACGGTGATAGCCATTTCCAGGGGCGTAGGGGGCGCGTGAGGCCATGCTCGAGTGAGTTGCAGGGGTTACGGAGTTTCATTCGATTCTGAAATCTAGGCCGTTGTTTTCAAAACGCTCCGCACAGATCAAAAGATCATGCATTAGACGTAGGTTGGGTAAGAAAAGTACACTCGAGGCTCGGGTTAGAAAAGAACACCTGCTATATCTCCGAACTGAAACTATTCTATTCTGAACCATCACTTTAGTGGTTTTAGAAAGCTTGGTCATCCCGCAAACAAATAATAAATTTAGCCCAGTTGTACGTATAAGTTATAGAATCAAACTGCACAGTTGAAAAAATTATCACTTAAAATGACTATGAAAATATTTTTCTAAACTGTATGTACTTTCAGGGGGCGGCAACGGCCTAGGAAGCGCGTGAAGCCATGCGCGAGTAACGTGCAAGGGTTACTTATTTTGCTTCGATTGTAAGATCTAGGCCGTTGGTCGCAAAACGCTTTGCACAGATCGAAAGAGCACAAAATTTGGGGTGCGTTAGGCGTAGTAGACTGCCCGATGCTTCCAATTCAACCGAACACAAGGGCGAAATCATTTACATCAACACGGCGCATTCGAGTTTTTCCCTCAATGTTATGATTTTTGTGTTTTTCGGTGTTTTTACTGCACCTTAATATTAGGTAAGGGGAGAGTTTCGAGAAGAGCAATTAGCCTAATGCACCCTAAATTTCAAGCCCTTTCCATCGGTGCAAAGTGTTTTGAAAAACACAGTCTAGTTTTCATAATCTCGAACAAGTGCGCAACCTCTGCACTGACGGCGCGAGCATCGCTTCACGCTCTCCCTAGGCCGTTGCCACCCCCTGGTACTTTGAAGTAGGGTCATTCCACGTCAAGTCGACAAGGCCTCTGCCACCATGGTCACCGAATTGATTCTTCTTTTCAGGGTTTGTTACCCCCATGGTACTAGTTCATGACCGGTACAAAGTTTTTCGAATGTGGCCCCAGGGGCTTAGATATAGCAAAAAACTTTTTTCTCAAATTGCTGCACCAGTGCAACTTTGAAGGTTCATAGCGTCGCTAATATGCATCGTAGACCAAATCCGAGACCAGATTTGGAAAGGGGAAGAAAAATCGAATCTACTAGTGAAAACCATTATTTTTTTTGAAAAAAATTTTTTACTTTCAAACTTTTACTAAATTTTAAAATTTGCACAGTTTCCAAGTACCTTAACCAAATTTGGCTCCCGTTGGCTTAAAACTTAGCTTGGACCCTCCTCTAATCGAAACAGTCAACCACAAAATACGTTTTGCGCCGTTCTCGAGAACGAACCATTTCCGTGGACCTCTGCAACACTCTACTTCACTGTAAAACGGTATTTAGCCCACCCAGTTTGGGCTGGGCACCCTGGGCGCCCTGCCCGATCGAACCCTGGCTCCGGATCCCGTTTCCAGTGTGTGTAGCGCCCCTTCCAGATAGGCAGCCCATCGTGCCGCGCCGCACTGGGACCCTGCGGGTTGCCTACCCACCAGGCGCTCCAAGCGAATCGACACATATTTCCCCCCTCTGCTGGCAGTACACTCTAAGCCGGAGCTTGGCAAGTCTACTGGATGTCGGATGGAGGGGATAAAAGCAGACAAGTTTGTAACATGAAATGAAAATTTTATTGCAATTTTGATTCAAAATATTGAAGCCATGTCAAGCCATCTCTGCTAATTTTACCTGAGCTGCCTTCCATTCTTTTGCAAAAAGTTTAACAACAGTGCCATTTTTCTGGAAGTACGGAGTTACAAGACAAAGAATGTCTTGCAAATACAC